GATGAAAGACTATTGAGGTCTTTTGTTCTTCAAAAATTCAGTCACACAAGAGGAGAGAAACAAATACAACATCATTTAAAATGGAACGACAGAGAATGTACCATTTAAGTGAGTTATTTTAAATAATTGTGTGTATTATGTGTAAACTTGTCTGTTTTAAAATTTTAATTTAGGTAATACTTCTTCTTCGTTCGGCTTTTCCCTCTTCAGGGGTCGCCACAGCGAGTCATCCTCCTCCATCTCTCTCTGTCCTCTGCATCCTCTGTCCTCACTCCAACTACCTCCATGTCCTCTCTAACTGCATCCATATATCTCCTCTTTGTCTTTTTCCTGGCAGCTGCATTTCTAACATCCTTCTACCAATATACCCACTGTCCCTCCTCTGGACATGTCCAAACCATCTCAGTCTGGCCTCTTTAACTTTATCTCCCAGTTGTTCAACCTGGGCTGAACCTCTGATTATCTCTTTCCTAATCTTATCCATCCTTGTCACTCCTAAGGAGAACCTTAGCATCTTCATTTCTGCCATTTCCAGTTCTTTCTCCTGTCTTTTTGTCAATGCCACTGTCTCCAGACCACACAACATAGCTGGTCTCACCACTGTCTTGTAAACTTTTCCTTTGACCTTTGCTGCCACTCTTTTGTCACAAATCACTCCTGAAACTTTTCTCCATCCACTCCATCCTGCCTGGACTCTCTTTTTCACTTCTTTACCACATTCCGCATTTTCTTGGACAGTGGACCCCAAGTACTTTAATTCCTGCACCTTTGTGACCTCTGCTCCTTGTAGCCTCACTGTTCCACCAGCCTCCCTCTCATTTACACACATGTACTCAGTCTTACTACGGCTGACTTTCATTACTCTTCTTTCAAGTGCATACCTCCATGTCTCCAAATTCTCTTCCACCTGTTCCCTGTTCTCACCACAGATCACAATGTCATCTGCAAACATCATAGTCCATGGGGATTCTTGCCTGACCTCATCTGTTAGTCGGTCCATCACCAGAGCAAACAAGAAGGGGCTCAGAGCCAATCCTTGATGCACTCCCACCTCCACTTTGAAGCTACCTGTCACTCCTACAGCACATCTTACCACTTTCCTGCTGTCCGCATACATGTCCTGTACCAGCCTAACATACTTCTCTGCCACTCCAGATTTCCTCATGCAATAACACACCTCCTCCCTCAGCACTCTGTCATATGCTTTTTCTAAATTCACAAAGACACAATGGAGTTCTTTCTGACCCTCTCTGTACTTCTCCATCAGCATTCTCAAAGCAAAGATGGCATCTGTGGTGCTCTTTCTTGGCATGAAGCCATACTGCTGCTCACAGTCACTTCTCGTCTAAGTCTTGCTTCTACAACTCTCTCCCAGATCTTCATCGTGTGGCTCATCAACTTAATTCCCCAGTAGTTGCTACAACTCTGTACATCACCCTTGTTCTTAAAAATGGGCACCAGCACACTTCTTCTCCATTCCTGAGGCATTTTCTCACCCTCAAATATGCCATTGAATATTTGAGTCAAAA